AAGGGGTGGAAGGGGGAGGGCGCGGCAGAGCAGTGGGAGAATATGAGGTGGCAGATGGGTGGAGCAGAGCAGAGGGAGGGGCCGGGGGCGAAAAGGGACATGAGAAGGGAACGATGGGTGGACTGGGGGAGGGAGGCGGGGAACAGGGCGAGGGAACGTGGCAGTGGGACGTACATTGCCTGGAAGCTTCGTGGAGGGCGTCGGAGTTGGGGTCCCAGGTGCCACCGAGGTAGTCGTAGATGGGCATGAAGAGCGAGAAGTTGGTGTGCACCTGCGTGTGGTGAAGTGAATGAAAGCTGGGGAGGGGAAGGGGAGTGGGGAGTGGGGAATGGAGGGTGGGGAGAGGAGAGGGGGGAGAGTGCATGGAGATGGACAGATGGGCATAAGAGCGACAAGTTGGTTTGGAATTTTGTGTGGTGAAGTGAATGGAAGCTGGGGAAGAGGGGGGAGGGGGAGGGGAGTGTTTGGAAATGGTGAGGTGGGGGAAAGGGACATGAGTAGTGAGGCATGGGCATGAAGAGGGGGAAGTTGGCGTGGACCTGTGTGTGAGGTGCAGCGAGTGGGTTGATTTTTGAGTCGACTCAAAAATCAACTCGAAGTTGGCGTGGACCTGTGTGTGAGGTGCAGCGAGTGAAAGCTGACAGGGGCGAAGAAAGAAAGGAGGGGGTTCTGGGGAGAAGAACATGTGCGAGCTGGTGTGCACGTGCTGGCGTATGTGTTTTGGGTAAGGCAGGTTGTGGGACGGGGTGTGTGGGGCGATGGTGTGTAGATGAGGTATTTGAGGAAGGGCAGCGCGCGGAAGAGCGAGACGGGGAAGGGGAAGGGGGAAGGGGAAGAGGGGGGGGGGGGAAGGGGAGGAGGGGGGGGGGGGAAGGGGAGGAGAAGGGGGGGAAGGGGGAGGGGGGGGGGGGGGAAAGGGGAGGAGGGGGGGAGAGGGGGTGGAGAGAGAGTGGGGGGGCAGGGAGTTGGCACTTACGATGGTGTGTAGATGAGGTATTTGAGGAAGGGCAGGGCGCGGAAGAGAGAGACGGGGAAGAACTCGAAGTTGCAGTGGCCCATGAAGTTGAGCGCGTCGAAGGCGAGCATGTACGCGTACACGCCCCCCACGGACGCGCACCCCAGCAGGCACGACGCGTAGAAGGGCACCACGAAGACTGCTGCGTACATGAGATGCTCCATGAATGGGTGTACGGTTGCTGCAGTGGTGAATGCAGGGGTGTGATTGTCACGAGGATAGGACAAGGGAGGGGAGGGAGAGAGGGGGAAGGGGACGCAGGGTGGGATTGGTGTTGTTGTTATCATTCTATTAGAAACACTGGAGTTTACTTGTATATGCACTCCTAACACACCCGTTTTGAACTCATTCTCCTTCTCATAATTACCCTCATTGCGAGCCACACACCTATAGCAAAAATCGTACCCCTAAAGGGTTCAGCCAGAAACGAGGCGTGGTAGTGGCTGTGGTACCTGGAGTAAACCGCGTGGTGGTGCAGCGCGCAGCCAGTAGTAGAGGAAATCTACTGCGTAGGAGCGAGTATTATACCCATAACGGATTACACTCTTGTAACGAATCTTGTACCTGTAACGGGCTCCGTGAGGAAGGACGCGTGGTGGTGGCTGTGGTACTTGCTGGCGCGTGGTGGTGCAGCGCGCGGTGCAGCCAGTAGTAGAGGAACCCGCAGTGCCTGTAACGAGCTTCTGTACGCACACACCTACAACGAATGTCGTACCTGTAACGGGCTCCGTGAGAAACGAGGCATGGTGGTGGCTGTGGTACTTGCTGTAGAGCGCGTGGTGGTGCAGCGCGCGGTGCAGCCAGTAGTAGAGGAACTCGGCGGGCCCCACGTGCATGAGCAGCGTGATGAGCAGTCCCGACGCCGTGCACGGCGCGAAGTTCTGGAAGAGCGGCACCCACTCGTGGAACACGAAGCCGAGGAGTGCGTTGAGGATGATGTAGTCGTCCCTGGGGGAGGGAGGGGCGGAGAGGTGAGGGAGGGGGGGGGTGGAGAGTGTTGGGGGGTCTGGGGGATTAAGGAATTGGTTTTCTGTGGAAGGAGCAGGAGAGGGAGGGGATCGTAGTACGGGTCGGGGAGGGGGCGGGGATAGGGGTTAAGGGCGGGGGAAGGAAAGGGGAGCAGAGAGAAAAGGTGAGGTGTGACGCGAGAGCAGGTTGGTCTGTCGCCAAAGACGAGGACCTCTTCGTTCTGCACTCCCCGACCGCTCCCAGAAACCACTTGATGACTTAGGGTCGATCGCTTCGCCTCGTCTCTTGCTTTTGGTTTTCATTTCCAGTTCGTACCACGTCGAGGCCTCAACGCCCTTCGACGAGGCTTCAAGATGCCACTTTGATGAGGCGCCTGCTTTCCGGTCGATGCGGCGCCTAAATAACGTTTTGATTAGACGCTAGACTTCCCCTAAATGGGGGCGACTACGTGCTCCTATGCGAGTCACCTGAATGCCCCTTTCATGAATCGCCTTATGCTCTGATATGGCGGCACGAATGCCCTTCTACGAGGCGCTTGAATGCTGTTTCATGAGGCGCGCGCGACCTGGTGCTAATTAATGAGGCGCCCGACCGATGCCGTTTGCTGAGGCGCCTAAGTGTTCTTGCGCAGTGGCGCACGATGCGATGCACCAAATGCAAGTTCGCCGCCTGAAACAAATTCTGATGAACTTTGCAACGCGCCCTTAAATCATACTCACACAGCCCCCCGGTTGTTCCGCTTGGTGAATACCGGATCCAGGAAAGAAGCGGCAAACCACAACGACGTTCCACCAGTTTTTTTGTCCCATTGCATCTGCTTCAAAGTGACTTCTTTCTGCTGCATATTTTTAATGAACCAAAAACGACCATTAAAAGAAAAAACCAGGGCAGCAAGGCTCACCAGTTTTCTTCCCGGTCCATTTGCTTGAAATTCACTCCCTTCCGTTGGATCCTGTATCGGGGAACGAGGTGCGGCCAGCGCGATATAGTCATCCACGCCATGCCCACCAGCAGCCGCAGCGCCGATGCGATCAGCAGGTGCAGGCTAAAGTTGTCTGGGTCCTTCCCGCCGTGGAAATTAGCGTCGATAGCTCGAGCTACCAACGGAGCAAGCACCAGGTACTGCGTGGAGGCGGTTTGCGGGAAGGAAAAAATGAGGGTATTGTGGGTGGTTACTGAGGGTTCCACGTGAACTTGGTACGCGAATCGGGATTAAAGAAGAGCGTCATCACCTCGTTGCAAACGCATGCGGTTGCAGTCTAATTGCGTGAAATCTAGCCACAAGATTTCACGACGGTTGAAGATTAGAGTGGAGTTGAGAACGCACCTTGTATCCGCCGAGTGAGTGCCACGGGAACTCGTAGAGCGGTCCAGGCTGAGTCGCCATTGCGACGACTTTTTGAAGACTGTCGCACACGAAAGCAGAGGTTTTGCCCGCAGCGGATCTACGACGATCGCCGCGAGGCAGGCGCTGATCGAGAGTCGAGAGACGTCTCAAATCAACGACGCAGGTCCGTCCTTGTGCAAGGGGCGAATGTTCCAACAGGCTCCTAATCCTCCGTTTCTCAATTTCCCGCTTCTCTGCTCCAGATAACGGGAAATTGAGAAAGGAAGCGTGAGACGGAGCCAAGTTGGAACAATGCGAAGGCTTGAGAGTATGGCGGAGCTTACTCCAAGGCTTTCTGTCCTTCCACAGCGACGGTAATAATCTCAGCTCAGAACTACCGATCAGGCTTATCCCCAATCAGGGGTGTGCGAATCCAAAATGTGTTATGAGGAGGCCTGTGGCAGCTGGATGGTGGAGGGAGAGGAAGGACGCCAAAAATGTGGATGGGGTGGATGAGTGCATGTGGACGAGAAGGGGCGGAATGGGCATGGGGTGGTGGGATGCAAGAACTGTAGAATTTGCGCCTGCAAACGAAATGGCGATGGGGGGGAAATTGCAATGCACTGGCGACGAGAGGAAACCAGCTGTCGCACGCGTTCAAACGAGGGGAAATTTTGAGGCAGGCGAGGGGAAATTTTGAGGCAGGCGAGGGGCTCCGAGCATGCGACGCAGGGAGTTCCACATATGCGTGAGAGATCTCCTCCAGGCGAACGGGAAGGTTGGCTCATGACGCTCGGCGACGCGATGTTGGCGACGTTTGCGAAAGCAAATGCGATTCTTTACAACCAACAAGCAGGGCCCTGCGCCTCGTTGGAATTTCAAGCGTGCCTTGTGCGGTGCGGACCGAGGCGCACAACTGACCAGTCCCAAGAAACCTGAGTGGGCAGAAAGGCAAGCAATTGATTGCCCACAAATACGGGCAGGTAAAATCCTTACAGGAACTTTGGTTCAATGATTCATCCACAGTTGTGGAGGAGCATTCTGAATCTGACCCACATAATCCACGTCGCTCACCCCTTCCCACAACTCGCCACGTCGAAGTCGACACGCGTTGCTGCCATGTCATCCACTTTACCACGCTCCGTTTAAATACGCTCCGATTTTATACACATATTCCCCTGATTCACGAAAAAGGAAATAATATTATATTGAGGTGTCTTACGTTGCGGACGGAGCCAGGAAAGCAGTCCCGCTTGAATTTTGCGCCTGTCATCTCGAATTTGCCACAAAATTCAGGGCTTTTTTGACTTGATCCTTCAAGAACGTCAGTCAGCAAAACTGCACGATACGGGATCCGAGGGGAAAGGATCGCCAAAAAAACGCTAGGCCGAACTCGAATTTTTTTAAAGTTTAGTCCCGAAAATTATGGCAGCAGGGCAAAACGATAGCTGTAGTGGCGGGGAACCAACCTGCTCTCACGCGGAGACTGGCGAAGGCGCAGGTCGACAGGCGGAAGGCGTTCCGCCGCCGCCTCTCGCTCCCCATGCGGCAACCACGGCGCCAGCCACGACAGCAGCTCCAACGGCCACGTCAGTAGCAGTAACAGCGGTGGCACCAGCAGCGACATCGGCAGCAGGGGGAGCGTTAGAGCCGCGTTCGTCGTCTTCACTAGCATTAGAGGGTAACGAGATGAGCCTCTCGTTTGAATCACGCGTGCTGGACGCCAGCGGGGTGTCTGGGCGGCATCAGGTGTCGTGTACGCTCGTGACTGGCTTCCTGGGATGCGGCAAGACCACTCTGCTGCAGGTGAGGGAGGGTATACCGCACGACTGTACAGGATGTGCACTTGTATATGGCTTTTTACGGTATGTGCATTATTGGGTGTGAACATGCAGCATGCGTAGGTGCGAGTGCTGGTTCACGCCTCTTCAACTGTGCAAAGCAGGAAAACCTGCGGGTGGTAATTAAAGACGTTAGTCATCTAGCCCTCAACACCAACCCCCCCTTACCACCCTCAACACTAACCCCCCCTTACCACCCTCAACACCAACCCCCCCTTACCACCCTCAACACCAACCCCCCCCTACCACCCTCAACACCAACCCCCCCCTACCACCCTCAACCCCAACCCCCCCCTACCACCCTCAACACCAACCCCCCCTTACCACCCTCAACACCAACCCCCATAAATGTGTGGCTAGCTGACCATCTACTTCCCTCCCCCTTACCGCCCCCTTTTTCCCCCCTACCAGCACGTGCTGAGGGAGAAGGGCGATCTGCGAGTGGCCGTGCTGGTGAACGAATTCAGCCCTGTTGACGTGGACTCCCTGCTGCTCCAATCACAGCGCGCCAACGTGGCAGTTGGGGCGCCCCCTGGTCATGGGGATCTGGCAGGGGGTGAGTGCGTGAAAGAGAAAGTGTGGGCAAGGGGAGGGAGAAAGGAATGGGTGGGTGAGTCATGAAGGAGTGAGGGAGGCAGGTGGCTGGAAATGAGTGTGGGTGAGGGGAGGGAGAAAGGAATGGGTGGATGAGTCATGAGGGAGTGAGGTCGGACGGGTGGTTGGATATGATTGTGGGCAAGGGGAGGAAAAAATGGAGATAGCAAGTCAATGAGAGCAAGTAGGAGCGGACTAGATTAAGCCACTGCCACACATGCTCCTTTTCATGCAATCACATGTCCACGCACTCACGTCCCCATCCCACACATCCCCATGCACGCACACAACCATGCACTCACATCCCCATGCAGTTACATTGCCATACGCTATTATGGTCATGCACTCACATGCCCACCCTCACATCCTCACATGCCCACCCTCACATCCTCACATGCCCACCCTCACATCCTCACATGCCCACCCTCACATCCTCACATGCCCACCCTCACATCCTCACATGCCCACCCTCACATCCTCACATGCCCACCCTCACATCCTCACATGCCCACCCTCACATCCTCACATGCCCACCCTCACATCCTCACATGCCCACCCTCACATCCTCACATGCCCACCCTCACATCCTCACATGCCCACCCTCACATCCTCACATGCCCACCCTCACATCCTCACATGCCCACCCTCACATCCTCACATGCCCACCCTCACATCCTCACATGCCCACCCTCACATCCTCACATGCCTATGTTCCTCAATATGCAGGCTGTGCATGTTGCCACGTCAGTGACGGGCTCAAGAAGGCTGTGCGAGCAGCGGTTGGTGGCGCCATGTCAGCATGCGACTACCTCATCTTGGAGGTGAGCGCTCGGTCGTTGCCACGTTAGCATGGTCGCCCGTCTACATCTGATCCACGTGCTTCCTTCATCGTCGAATCTGCCCTGAGTGGTGGCAGTGGTGGCAGGTAGGCAAGGGAGCCACGGGAGGCATGGGAAGAAAGGGAGGCTGGGAAAGGCACGGGAGGCTGGGAAAGGCACGGGAGGCTGGGAAAGGCAGAGGTGGCCTTGGATGGTGGCGATTGTGTCATTTGAAACGCTTTTTTCTCTACCTTGTTTCCTACCCACTTCCGCGTATTTATCCCTCCAGACCTCGGGCCTAGCGGACCCTCAACCACTGGCCGCCCAGCTGATGGAAGCCGGGTGAGGCTCGATAGAGTGGTGACTGTGGTGGTGTGGTGGTGGTGGTGCAACCTGAAACTCTTTTCTTTCACCTCATTGTATGCCCAGTTCCGCCCTTTTGTTCCTCCAGACCTCAGGCCTAGCGGACCCTCAACCAATCGCCGCCCAGCTGATGGAAGCAGGGGTGAGGCTCGATAGAGTGGTGGCTGTGGTGGAGGCTGAGACGCTGCCGAACCTCCTCGAACAGCAGCCAATAGCGCGGCGACAGCTGGCAGCGGCCGACCTGGTGTTGCTGAATAAGTGAGCTGATGTGGCAGTAAGCAAGGAAGGGAGAGAAGGGTGAGGAGAAGGGGGCGGTTGAGGGGGGAAGAGAGGGGAAGGGTGTTAGGGTAGAAATCCATTATGAGAGGATGACAGTGAGAGAATTAGAGTGGGAGGATGACAGTGAGAGAATTAGAGTGGGAGGATGACAGTGAGAGAATGAGAGTGGGAGGATGACAGTGAGAGAATTAGAGTGGGAGGATGACAGTGAGAGAATGAGAGTGGGAGGATGACAGTGAGAGAATGAGAGTGGGAGGATGACAGTGAGAGAATGAGAGTGGGAGGATGACAGTGAGAGAATGAGAGTGGGAGGATGAGCGTGACATGACTGTGATGATGGGATCGAAGGCTGTGCTGTTCTCTGCGATGTTTTTGCATTGCTGAGCTTATTCCATGTGACTGCCCCATGCCCGTCTGCACAAATCCCTTCCTGCCATGCCATGCACCGCTGTTTCATGCGCCTCTATCCCTTGCCCCTCTGTCCCAAACCCCTGTGTCCCATACCCCTCTGTCCCATACCCCTCTGTCCCATACCCCTCTGTCCCATACCCCTCTGTCTCATGCCCCTCTGTCCCATACCCCTCCGCACGGTCGCACCATACCCCTGTGGGCCATGTGCAGGTGTGACCTGGTGTCCCTGGGTGCACTATCAGATGCAGAAGACATGCTCCTTAAATTTCTCACCACAGGAGACGCGTCTGCCCACCCACATACCAACGACGCATACGGCACCAGTCATAGATGCACCTCCTCCTCTCACACACGCTCCCATCCTCCCACCCCCACCTCTATACAACCATCCAGCTTGCCTCTTCCCCCTGTAGTCCGCACCCGTTACTGTCACGTCCCCTTGGATCTGATCCTAGATACCGTTCCTGTATCGCAGCCTGCTCCTCCTCTCACCTCAGCATCCGCTCATCTCTCCGCTGGCTTCCTCTCTCACGAAGCCACTGCTGCCCCCTCCTTTCGCACTCCCAGTGCTTCAACTCCCTCAGCCCTCACTCCCTCCTTGCACAAGGAAGGGAAAGAGCCGGATGCAAGGCATGGAGCGAGGAGGTATCAACTAGGTGCACCTGCACCAGGTCATGCCTCCACCCCGTTTACATCACTCCTCTTTGAGTCACAGCAGCCTCTTCCGCTAGCTGCATTCCAGCACATCGTGGCCACCAGACTGCGAGGAAGAGCCGCCAGCAGCAACAAGAGTGGCAGTGGCACTGCCGCCAGCAGCACCACCAGCGGGTGTGCTCCAGTGAAGGGTCTGCTTCGAGCCAAGGGCTTCTTGTTCTTCAAGGAAATGCGGTAAGGAGCCATGGCAGGTGTGGCGGGTAAAGCTTTTGTGCCTGTAGTGTGGTGGATGCAGGTTCTGGAATGCTAGCCTTAGGCTTCTCTCAACCTTGTTTTGGACCTCTGCTCCTCACCCATCTCATGTTTTTTTTTCTTCTTCTTCTTCCTCTTCCTCTTCCTCTTCCTCTTCCTCTTCCTCTTCCTCTTCCTCTTCTTCCTCTTCTTCCTCCTCTTCCTCCTCTTCCTCCTCTTCCTCCTCTTCCTCCTCTTCCTCCTCTTCCTCCTCTTCCTCCTCTTCCTCCTCTTCCTCCTCTTCCTCCTCTTCCTCCTCTTCCTCCTCTTCCTCTTCCTCTTCCTCTTCCTCTTCCTCTTCCTCTTCCTCTCCTCTTCCTCTTCCTCTTCTTCCTCTTCCTCTTCTTCCTCTTCCTCTTCTTCCTCCTCCTCCTCCTCCTCCTCCTCCTCCTCCTCCTCCTCCTCCTCCTCCTCCTCCTCCTCCTCCTCCTCCTCCTCCTCCTCCTCCTCCTCCTCCTCCTCCTCCTCCTCCTCCTCCTCCTCCTCCTCCTCCTCCTCCTCCTCCTCCTCCTCCTCCTCCTCCTCCTCCTCCTCCTCCTCCTCCTCCTCCTCCTCCTCCTCCTCCTCCTCCTCCTCCTCCTCCTCCTCCTCCTCCTCCTCCTCCTCCTCCTCCTCCTCCTCCTCCTCCTCCTCCTCCTCCTCCTCCTCCTCCTCTTCTTCTTCTTCTTCTTCTTCTTCTTCTTCTTCTTCTTCTTCTTCTTCTTCTTCTTCTTCTTCTTCTTCTTCTTCTTCTTCTTCTTCTTCTTCTTCTTCTTCTTCTTCTTCTTCTTCTTCTTCTTCTTCTTCTTCTTCTTCTTCTTCTTCTTCTTCTTCTTCTTCTTCTTCTTCTTCTTCTTTCTTCTTCTTCTTCTTCTTCGTCTTCTTCTTCTTTCTTTTTCCGGTTTTTTTAAACCCTTCTTATTACTCTTACATCGGCTTCCCTCTTCCCTCCTCGTTTCCCCTCCTCCTGCCTCCAAGGCATCTGCGGTTTGTGTTTCAACTGAGTGGCAGCAGCCGTTGCTCCTGCACTGCCATCGACACCTGGGACTGCCCACCCTCCTGTCGCCTCGTGCTCATTGGCCAGGACGCCGCTGAGCTGGCAGGCCTGGTGTCAGAGCTGGAATCACTCGCAGAGGATCAGAAGACGGATGGTGGAGGAGAGGTTTCAGGGGATGGGGTTTCAGAGGTGGCTTGTGAAACAGGCTCGAGGAATGTGGCTGGGGAGGCGATATGTGGGGAAGGCACAGCTGCTGCTGAGGCAACAAGGCTTGTGAAGATGCTGACAGCAGATGAGAGATTTGAGGTGAGATGGTGGTGTCTGATGAGTGGTGAATGGTTGTTGGTGAAAGATGGGTGGTGAACGATGCTGAAGATGAAAAGGCATGACCAGCTGGTGGGGTAGTGCGACTGTGTTTGAAAACAGTCTGAGGGCGTATCCAGGTTCGGGTCATGGGCACTGTTCCGGGCATCCGCAATTTGCGGATGACCCAAACAACATAAAACGCCACTTTGGGTCCTCCGAACTCATGCGACTCCCAAAGAGCCGCGAAGGTTTTAGCGCCAAAATCAGGCTCCCCACAACAGTCGCATCCAATGGAGGGATGCCAGAACAGTTCGAAACATCCTTAGCAAGACCCACGCGAAACCCACCGAAAAAACACAATCGTCAAAATTCCCAGCGTGAATCCCCAAATGCTGGAAGGGCGACGCGGGAAATTTTTGACCCACTAATGGTCACTGGGGTCAATTTGCCGAGTGGTTGGGTGCAGAGGGGTAAGACGTGGGACATTGCCCACGTGTGACACTCGACTGACGACCGCCAAAAAATGGCAGTAAATCCAGAATCGTGCAACCAGGTGATTGGTTGGGGGTGGGTCGTGCACGTCAGTCGCCCAACACCTGCACATTGACCCAAAGCTGGGGCCGCGCGCGGCTCGGCAGCCCACTTCGGGTCATGCGCAAATTCCGCATGACCCAAACAGTAGAATGAACAGTGCTCATGACCGGAGCCAAAGATACGCCCTGAACTTCACATGAAAGAATGGGAGGGGATGATCGGTGCGGCTCATGTAAGTGACCTTACACAGCGGGCTATCTGATGCCTTCATTTTCAAGTACCCAATCCTGAAGTTGGTCGCTGGTGTGGCATTAAAGTGGAAGTTTCAAGATGTTGTGGAGTCTGTTCATTGTGATGAATGCAGGTCCGCACATCCAAGGCAGCATCTGACAACAGAGTGGGGAAGTTAGTGACAGAGCGACGGGGAAAAACGTTTGAGGCTTCAGTTGTGGAGTTTGGGATGAAAGGAATTCCACTCAAAGGCATCCATCAGGTACGGCGACCCTAAACCTTAAACCCCGGCCAGAATACCTTTTACAGCACACATAATTTGCTGTGTGATGAAAGTAGGGATTTCTCAGGTATGGAGAAGGCAGGCGTCCATCAGGTAAAGCTACCCACTTGTTAGGTGCGGGGTTGGGGGGCTTTCTAGTGCAGTAAGCATCCATCAGGTATGTTAAAGATGAGCTTCTTTTTATTATGGTGCAGTAAGCATCCGTCAGGTATATCGAGGATGAGCTTCCATTGATTATGGTGCAGTAGGCATCCATCAGGTATGCTGAAGATGAGCTTCCATCAGCTTTGGAGTTTTTTTTTTAGATTACTTCTGCAGCATGAGTCGTAACTACACATCCACTGAGGGCATTTTGTCATCTCTTGCAAGCATAGTCGGAATGATGCACAATACCTGTGAATCCGCACAGCTGGAGGCGACGCTCCTCTTTCCTGCATCATCCTCCGCATTACCTGCATGACAGAATACTCTCAATGCCTCGTTGCTGGCGTACATGAACAACCAAGCTACACATCTCGTATTCGCCTGCTCGACTCTCCCAACTCTCAACGGTAAGTATACCCTACTTACAGCAGCCGTCTTGATGTTTCTTCGCCATTTCTAGCCATTGACATTCTGGTTAAGGAGTTAGAACAACTAAGTCAGCTACCTACCCGACTGACGCTTCAAACATCAGCTGGGCCGTTGGTCCTGGGAATGCGAGCGTCGTCCAAGGCAGAAGTGGTCTTCGACCTGCTCACGATCGCAGCCAGGCGGAGCTTGTCTCAGGCCCTCAAGGATGTTCCCTTATGCAGGTACCGTTTCGTTTCCAGTATTCTCTTAGATATACTGGAAGTAATATTGTGACAAGTCAATGTACGCCGTCTTATATGTTTCTTTTTTTTTTTTTCAGGTGCGATGTGGTGCATGAGATGGTGAACACGAAATGACGGCGTCAACACTAGGACGGGAACTGGAGATGACATGACCAACGACGACCACATTCCTTCCCGTAGAACCGCTCGTGACAGGTGTCGTGTGACTGACTGACATGATGACTAGAATAGAATAAGTATAGGGGTTGGTCTGGCGTAATCTATGAGCTTCGCGTAGCAGCGTCCAACTGCCTGATCATAACAAATAGAATGACGGATTCTGCACACACCAGAAATCGAACTGACTGACAAATGTAGATGCATTACATCACTATGACAGTGGCAGAAAAGTCTTGCTGGGAGCTGCTGCATCATCTGAGCCTAGATGAGGCAGCATCAAGCAGGAGTTATGTTCTTCGGCCCATACGACCTGAAAGTTCCAGAAGCACGAGGCTCAGCTGTCAAACACGGTTTTCTTGGGAATGCAATTCCTGTACTTCGGTGGAGGGTTTGTTGCTGGTTGGCTACCTTGCCACAACGCGGAAACGAAAAGATTTGTTGTCACAGCATTGTCAGTTACCAGCAGCCCAGGACCGAAAGTCTCCTGTGCACGAAGGATTTCGCCCAGTGCCGACATCTGTTTCTGTTGGCGATCAGTTGGCTTGCCGATGGCTGGCTCCTTGGAGATTGACATCTCTAGTTTCGTAACAACGCGGAATGAACGGAGTTGAAGTCGTAACCAGCTGCAAGTCCAGGACGATAACTCCCCCGTGCACGAATGCGACAAGGTCAGGGATACGGAACGGGAAGAAAAACACGGGTTCGACTTCCCCCTCTGGCCAATCGGAGTATAGCTGGAAACGAGTTTTGTTGGGTCGTGGTTGGGGCAATGCAATGTAACCGTTCGCAGGTCCAGCGATTCGCGAACCGTTCGCCACCGCATGCTATTCAGGAGCCACCTGCTCCCGTGTCGCGTCAGCGTCAGGAGAGTCTTGCATCTGAAATCAAGCCTCGTCAACGACAACCTCGACATTTCGCTGCACAAGCAGCCACTTACGCAAATCCTCAATGGCTTTTGCCTGGACCGCAGCGTTACCGATCGGGCCACCAGCAAGTAACGAGGATTGTCGCACAACAATCTTCGCCAGATTTGGGCACAGCAACGAAACCTTGGCGATCTCCTCCAGCCCACAGACCATCTTCGTCAGCACCAGGATCTCAAGGTCTCGATGCATGACGGCTTCGTTGGTGCTGCTGATGAGATTCCCAAGGTTACCACCAACCAACTCCAGCACTCGCAGAGAGTAGCATTTTCGCAGAGCCATGAGGTCATCCGTTCCGAGAGCTCCACAGTGGATGCGAAGGCACGTCAATTCCCGCCATGCAATGACCATGAGGTAAATGGCTTGCTTCGACAGGCTGTTCTGGCACAAGCAGGCGAAGCTGCGGATGTGGCGGAAGCCGGAAGTGAGGTACCACATGGCCTTGTTCTCCAAGTACGTGAAGTTTCCTTGCTTTCCGTCTGAAATGAGCTCCACGCTTTCGACATTGTTACAGTACAAGCTGCAAACGGAAACAGAACAAAGACTGTGAGGTTCTGAACGGAAGAAAAGGGTAAAGGCATAAGCCAAGCATGGAAAAAGGGCGCGAGAGACCGAATTATATTGTAACTACATACTTTACGGCTGAACTCAACGCACCTTACGATCCAAAGGACGCTGCATATTGACGCCTCGTTGCGACTCGTGTTGTCCCGGTCACAGTCGATAACGATTCGACGAAGGGAGCTTCCGCAAGCCATGATGATCGGATGAAGCACATGCAGCTCGCAGCGAGGATCGTCAATATGCAGTTCCACCAGGTTCGTGCACCGTGCTGCGAGTTGTTCCACTCCTGGACGCATACTCCCAGGACCAATCCGAAGCTTGGTCCAGAAAATCTGGTTGTAAGAGAGCTCTCGCCACGTCTTATTCACGCAAGCCATGCGGCAGAGGTCCCAGGCGGTGGGCTGAGCGAGCTGGAAAATGTGAAGGAGCAAGTCGTCGCCTAAGTCGGAAAGCGACGGCTTTTCTGCAGCTACTACCGGAGGTTTCGGAAGAGCTAGCGTCAACTCCGTCAAGCAGTCAGATACGGCGTCGTTGTCGCTGAAGAACTTGTCGGTCGAAGCGTCGGAACGGCGCGACCTTTTTGCGGCTTTCGGAGAGTGGAAATCGAGGTTAAAATTTGTGCTCCAAGGATCTACTTCACGCTTGGGAACACCCATGCCCGAGGAAATGGTGGTCGACATCGCTGAAGCTATCGCTGGTCGACTCTGCGGCTATGCTAGGCTATGTGTACGAAGGGGGGGAGCTGTTGAAGTGAAGAAACGTAGCGCGACGATGACGTGTGCTAGAATGGTATTGCTTTGGATTGGAATGTTCAGCCGCAGCATGCTCCTTTTGTACTGCGCCGAGTTCCACCGCTCACCGACTGGGGGACTCACTGAGGGAACCTGACTTGCAGAACCGGAGCGGCTTGTGGGAGAATTTGGGGCACTGCGGAACGAAAGACCCAGAACGCAACCACTGTGCTGTACCCAGTTGGTGTTGATACGATGAGCTGGGAGGTAGATCGTACAGCGGCATGACAGTTGACACGCTCGGGTGTCACAACCCTAAAAAGTAGGACCATTGAGGCTGATGCTGCGAAACAGTTGGAAAGTGCAGTGGAACGATCCGCCTTTGGATCACGGGCTGTTGGAAAAGGCTTCGAGAATATGGTGGCCTGCCCAACAACTTGCCGTTCCACCCACCCTACCACGCGGTGAATCTGCATCAAAACTCTTCCTGCTGGAATCAGCGTGGCACACGACGTCAGGGTGAGATGCAGAATCGGATGAGCAAAAAAATCTACGGGTTCCAGTTAAACGTCGTATGGAGCCGTTACGCGCTGCTGCGGGATTGGCCGGGAAAGTCAGAATTCTCATTCTGTTTACCGAATCGACGTCCTTCCAGTTACAAGCCTCCAGTTGGTCTCCAGGCTGGATATCCGTAGGCCCAGCTTTTTGATATCAGAAAGGAACGGTTTCAATCAGCTGTGGCTTTTCCACTTCGAAATGTACATGTGGCAAAAAGCGTCAAACGAATGGATGTTTGCACTTCGACATTGACACGTGCCGTTTCGTGGAGGAGTTCCGGCACATGTATACCACGGTTCCCCAACGATCTCGCGTCACACAAATCACAGAGCCATTGCATGTATGCCAACATGGAGCAACACAGTCCACCAACAAAACATCCCCTTACGAGCTGCAACGATAGTCGGGGATTAAGAATAGTGTTCTCTATTCCAGAGAGGAGATAGCAAATAAAGTCTTTACAGAATGCGGAGCCCACCCATCTATGTTTTCTCATATGGAATTAAGCATTGCTTGCAACCTAAATGATTACACTAATCCAAAAAACGCGCTAGATAGAGGCATCAGATGTGATATATATTATGATAGGACTGTGGGAGCTTGCGTTTCAACCAAAATACTTCGCACGGTTTCATCGACTAATTGTATCAATCGAACTTTATACACGTGGCTTTATGCATATAATGAGAATTTCACGTCCGATATCCATTTATACTGGCCAAGTATTGCTGTAAGTGGCTCCTAGGTTTGGCAGAATACAAGTATCAAAAAGTTGATTCACTATAATAAAAGCACACCTATAACAAGAAAACGAACGTTATCCTTCATGAATGCACACGTCGTTGCATTTCCACGTAATACCGAACCCGCCTTTGATGGCGCTTTTGGTGAGTTCGACGGGTCTACTGGATTAGTTTGTTATCCACAGTTATTGATGCTGATTCGTTGTTGAAACTGGTGGGGCACACGCAATCCGAGCCGCCCGTCCACGTTCAGCACGGCTGAACGCTGCTGACGGTGGGCTGATATCAGCAGCAAAGTCTAATTGGCTGGAGTTTTTAAGGTTCCAAAAGTATGTCCTAACCAAATCCAATCACTTGATCGGGAACGTCCATATTGCCACGCATCCTCATCGAAGGCTGTGAATTCTTCTCGCATCCATTTCAGGAAGCCTCCATCGCTCCCGTCGGAAGCGGTCTGCCCTTGAGATTGGGAGTTTCAAGCAGGCGACACGACTATTTCATCACTTGTGCCTGCCCGAATGGGAAGGGGAGAGAATGTATCATCCATTTTGCCTCGCTGCACATTATCATCCAGCCTTGACAAACTCGAAGCATGAATTGCGTACTCTACACTTTACCGCATCATACTTCGTTTTGGTCCTACACTCATCCAGCCAACGGTTCAAACTTCGTTTTGGTCCTCCACTCCCTTCCGTCCAAGCTGCCCTCCAGAAAATTTGTTGCCACGCTTTTCTCCCTGATTCTTCAACCTCACAAAGCTTGCATAGAAGCTCTCTCCTAGGGACGCAAATGTGATTATTGCGTCGCTTCTTTCCGCGTGTGATGACTGTTTCTGATGGGTGCTGACTCCTAGTGAACGTTTTCCATGGCTGTCTGTTGATCCGCTGACGGGGTTATTCGTGTGCGCTGCAAGGAAGTCCACTTCTTTTCATTTCCACCATTAGCCCAGCCAGCGTGACACGACACAGGAAGGGAATCGGCAGCACACGACACCACGCAAGCAGAAGGATTTTCTCTGTGTGCCTTGCTCTGACGGGACCACGTGCTTCTAGGTTGTTCGAGACTGGGGTTGGCAGGAGAATTGTCTTGATGCACGTATATCTTCGACCAC